AGACAGCTGTCATTTTGACAACAACCATTTTTGACACCTGCTATTTTTTTTACCTTTTTGATAGGTGTCAAAAATGACGTAAAAGGTGTCAGATGTAAGATATAATGATTTAAATAAATTAAAACCGAACCTTATAGGCTTTGCCTAGGCCAATAGCGTTACTACTATAGTTTTTTTTTATTTAATACGTATGTACATATAAGGGCAGTTTTTAAATATCGATTTTTTTCGCATTTGGGCAGTTTTCAATTACTTAAAATATTTATTTTAATGCGCAGTTTTCAATTACCTAGTTTTAATAAGTTAAATACACTGCGCGTCAAAATTAACGCATAATAAGTAAAAAAATTCTAACTCTAAAACGCCTTTCCTAATCTTTATAATAGTTATTTATGTCATTAGGTTAAGAAGTAAGGCTTTTTGTGCTAAGCTCAAAGTTTGAAGGCCGACGCGTAGCGGAGGCCTACAATTGAGCGAAGCACAAAAAGACACTTCTTGGCCGAATGGCATACAACATTTTATCTTCAAAGCACTTTATATAGGTCAATTTAATTCAACATGAAAGCGCCCTAACCTCACTTTTTTTAATCTCATTTATTTATTAGCTAAAGATTACATTAAATGTACGCCGCGTCTAGAGTCCCGTCAGACGGTTCTCTATTGCGCTCCCGTTAACAGAGTGACGTCATCAAATGACGCAATCTTAGGACGGGAAGCAGATCTTTTTTCCTTAACCAACGTCCCGAGTCCGCCCGCTTCGAAACCAACCCAAACCCAACAACCCAACCCAACCGACCCCGCCCCATTGGCCCCCCCCCGCCCCATTTAGTAAAAATTTTTCAACGAAGGAATATTCATTTAATTACATTTTATATTATATAACCAATGATATAACTAGCAAAATAATTATGAGGAAAGGTAAATAAATTAAAATATTAATGTAAAATTAAATATAAATGCTTTTAAGGCCACATTGTATTATTTCGGTATATAAATTCTTTAAAAAAAAATTAAAAAAAGTTGTACAGGCACGAAGTATCGAACCACGTACCTCTCGCATGCAAAGCAGGCGCCCTTCCATCGAGCTACCGAGGTTATTGTAATAATCCTATCGTTCGAAAAATAATACCTATTTACAGTGTGTGACGTCACAAAGTTTGAACGGGAGCGCAATGGAGACCCGTCTGACGGGACTCTAGACATTATGTTAAATGTACAATAATTATTATTCCTTTTAGAAGCAGTAATAGTTTGACAATACCTAACTACATGATTTAAGTAGAAATGGATTTTTGTAAGAAAATGGTTTACTTACCCTCTTGCTATTACATTGAATTCAATTAATTGTTTAATAAATAGGTATCTAATTTCAATTTGTTTGCATTTTTATTAAAAAAATAGGTAGTTTGGAATGTTTACGCTGTGTTTAACATTTAATTTTACTGAAAACTTAAAGCAAATTAAAATTTAAAGATAATTTAAATCGTAGAAAAAGAAAACACAACTGTGAAACGTCAAATTGCAATGTCCTAACCTCACTTTTTGTTTTATTATTCATATTTAATTTTACAATAATTTAATGAAAAATATTAAACATTATAATGTTATAACAGTAAAACAAACAAATTAGTGCTTATTATAAATAAATTAAACCAGTTTAGTACGTTAATTTCTTAGAAAAGGATTAATTTGTCAAAACAATACCCCTAGCGAGAAAAAATCGAACTAATTACTTGCCTCATAAAAATTTTTATCGGCCTAGGCCATAACAAGGTATTTCTTTATCGAATGTTGACAACAATAAAGTTTAAATTATAGACCGCGTGGAGATAAAAGATTTTATAAAAATACTTCAACTTATATCTCAGTTTATGTGTTCGAGGGTTTTTCTAGAAAATATTTTTAAAGCCCTTTTATTTAATTAAAAACGTTTGAAAAATAACTTTAAGGGAAATTTTTTTTAAGTAAATAAAAAATATGCTGATAAAGACCGTATTTTTATTAGTATACCCTGAAAATTTTGTAGAAATCAAACGAACATTAACGAAGATACAGTGCTTCAAAGTAGGTAAAAATGACCCCTTTCTGATTATTTTGCTGAAAAGTTGTCATTTTTGATGACTTTACGCTGTATTTTCGTTACTATTCGTTTGATTTGTACAACAAGTATTTCACAGCATATTTTTTATTTAGCTAAAAAAAATTCCCTATAAAAGTTTTTTTTCGAGTGTTTTTTTATTAATAAATAAAAGGGCTTTAAGGATATTTTCTCTTGAACACGAAAACTGAGATATAAGTTAAAGGTTTTTTTATCCAAAATTTTATAAAGATAAAGGCGTTTTAGAGTTAGAATTTTTTTACTTATTATGCGTTAATTTTGACGCGCAGTGTAGTTTAATAATTAATAAATACTTAAACGTGGAAAAATAGATAACAAAAGCACAAAATAATGTTAGTTAGATGCAGAAAACGAGATATTGCAACGTGGTCTCTACGATAATCCGTAGAAATTAATTGCATTGAATCAGTATTGCCAGATGTTTAAAAGTCGAGGTGCCAACTTGCGAATTAAACATCGCCCAAAAGCGCCAACAAATATGAAATCAGCGCCACCTTCAGAATAACAAAATTAAAATGCCAGCAATTAATTTCTTGTGACGGTTAATTCCCAAAATGCATTAAAAACACAAACATTCATAGTTAAAATGGTACATTATAGACCAGGCGGATAAAGCACATATATTATTGCCGAGCATACATTTTACCGAGGCGATAGCCTGTGTGCAAGGCAATTAATAAGCTTTCGTCGCCGTGTTTTATATACTATTATTTTTTTTCAAGCAGTTAATTAAATAATTTCTTAAGTTTCTGTCACATTATTTGTAGGTTAAGAGAATAATAAATTGACTTTTAAACTAGAATTAATATGAAATGTTTCTATATATCTTTCTATATATACTTATAAGTCATATAATATAAAAATTATTGTACGCTTAAAAAAAAATTATGTTTTACCTTTTATATTATAACACTCATAAGCTTTGTTATCTATGCTCATAAGTCTATATACCTATATACAAAATATCATCATGTCAGTTGAACCTAACCTAGAAATGATGTGGCAATTTATTTTTCAGAAATTCAAAATTGCCGTTTGAAATTTTTATAAAAAGACTAGGCGCAAATTATTTCTAAAAACACTAACGTAACGTAACGTAATCCCAAGTTTTGTTCTACCCCGTCCGCAAAGAAGTTTCACTTAAAAAACCCTCGACACATACGATATTTGTAAACCTTATTGAACAACTACTTCCATGTCCTTCTAATAATTTCTTTAGGTCAATATACTTAAATGTTTCTTGCTTATTTTAGAAGTTGACTAGTTAGACGGGACTACTACTTATATAAGTTATAATTCCCTTGGAAAATTTAATTAGTACCTACTCAATAAAGTTAAAAGTTAGATCGGCTATATCTCATTCGACATCGATATAATCTATTAAAATGATTCAATTACAATTTTGATGCGATTGTTTAAGGATCAAAGTGGCATGCTCTCTATAAAGGTTTCCTGCGAGAGCGAGCTTTCTTCATCTCCCCCAAGACAAAGATTTTAAGATTTACTTTATTCCCTATTGAAAAGTAATTAAATATTTTCAGATTATTATGTTGAAGAAGATTTTTTCAGGTAAAGTTTTTGTTAGGAAGTTTAATATAAAAAATCTTATTGTAAACATTAAAATTGTGTTATTGGGTGCTGTAAACGTGTTATAAACTGAAGCAGGCCGTTGCTTTTTTACCTTTTGCATATTATCCTAAAATCAGAAAAATTTAAATATGACTAAATAATATAAATAGTTTTTAAAAATATTAGCAACCCTATTGGAAATGGAATTTCTCAATTCAATTTTTATGTGTCAATAGCGCCATAAAGAATCACTCTTATAAAAACCCCTTAAAAAGTTTTGAGCTTATCGTTCCCTGTGTTTAGTAACACTATAAAATCTAATCTAACATACATATTTTGGAAACCACTAGCTATATAACTTCTTAACAAACTACGTTCAAACACCTAAAGTCATAAAATGTGGTTTTATTGTTTTTAGTTTCCCTTATAAGCATGGCCTAAAATGGTGTTAAAAATATTTATGTTACCAGTTTTTTTCTTTTTTTAATATTTCTCTCTCCCTTAGATCTTTCCTATTATTATCTTATAAATTAAGGGACTATATATTAATTTGCTTAATTAAGTAGATTCGTAATAAAATTAATTTATTACATTTATTTAATTTATATTTAAAAAAAATCATAACGGAAGAAGTTTTATATTGCTTATGGTAAGTTTATATATCCTAACATATTCTTTAAGTTTAGAATTTAGGTTACTTAACAAATACCTTTTTCAACTAATTTTTATTAAAATTATAACATACAACAAGTGACACTATGCTTAATTAATATATAATTAATATAAATTTATATATCTATATATATACAGCCTGTTCAGAATAAAACCGAATATATCTATATATATATATATGGGGCGTGGCCTCGCCTCCCTCCAAGGCGCGTCACAGTTGCTTGTGTGATAATTTATAATTTATCACTGATAAACGACATGACGAAAGGTCGAGCAGGTAAGGACTTAAAAAATTAAATGATAATAATGCAAAAAATCTCATTAGCGATGCAGTCTATTTGCTTAGCTACTGTGTCGCGCGTTGGAGGGAGGCGAGGCCACGCCCCATATATATAATATATATAGATATATTCGGTTTTAGTCTGAACGAGCTGTATACCTAGAGGTAAAAAATTATATACCTAGATGTTATATAACTCGTCAATTTTATAAAACCTGTTAACCTTGACTTTGACTACCTTTATAAAACTTATCGTTATAACAAATACAAATACAAATAATTTGTTGTTAGTAAAAATTAATTAATGTTTGATTGTTGATTTCATGTATAAAAAAGTTTACTAAAAATATTTTCTTTCAGGTGCATTTTTGGTTCCTTACTGTTTGATGCTGGTGATTGGCGGTATTCCTTTATTTTACATGGAGTTAGCTTTAGGACAATTCAACAGAAAGGGTGCTATTACGTGTTGGGGTCGTCTCTGCCCTTTATTCAAAGGTAAAAAACAAAAACAAAATTAAATCGAATAAAATCAACTCTGAAATACGTAGTAGAGTAGGAAACAACAGGTGATAACCTCAAATCCTTCCTTATTGCCTTGCGTCCCGTAAAACGGTAATGGGAAACGCCACAACTGAATTTCACTTTCTTATAGCCGTGGGCAAAAAGGTTGGTTAAGATTTAATGATCCAATAAACTGTTTGTTTTTTTCTTAAAATTGACAATACCTATATGTTGAATTTTGAAAATTATTGAATATTTTTTATCACGAATGTGCATATTAAATTTTATCCGAAATCTCATTTAATAATACTAATAACACTGTGCAACATTTTCGGAAAAAAATTAAGATGATGGGGTTCTGAAAGTGATTTCGGTTTCCACAATCAAAATCATGAATTATAGCGTTTACAGAATGTTTAGATTGATTTTGTTTTTTTTTAATATCAATTTAGTTATAGTAATTCTGAATCCCGAAATATCGTAAAATAATAAATAATTAGTACTAAAAGATAGTTATTGGTTTTTTATATTGTTTTATAAAGTAATAACAATCAAATAAAGAAAAAAATAATTAAATTAAAAAAATATTGAGAACAATAAAATGCAATTTTTTTTAAAAATTGAACCTTATTTTGGATTTAATATGTTGTAGTGCAATTTCTTAGTTCTTTCGCTTCTATCATAATAATAATTAATTATTACCATATTAATTATTAAAAACATATTATTTTTAACAAATAGAATGAATTAACATAAAAAAATAACAAATTTTATTTATAATTTTATGCCAAAATTTCCATTGCCATAGACCAACAAAAATCTGCCAACATCGAATCAAACCTCTCTCCTCTTTAACGATTTTCCATTTCCATTATTGATTGATGTTCTTCTGATTCGGTGGACAGCTGATTTTCGAAGATGTCAAGATGTGAAGTACTTTTAGTGACATGTTTACACCCATTTTTAATTTTTGTTTTATTTTTTATTATTTCTTTTTAATTTATTGTTATGACAACAATTTCCTACCAGTTAATTGGTTTAAATTAATAAATAACGGTTTTCGGGTTCCAAAATTAATAAAACTTAAAATCGATATTAAAAAAACCTTAATCAATCTAAACATTCTGTAAACGCAAAAGGGCATTCTTTGGATACGAGAAACGAAAACCACTTTCAGAACTCCATCATTTTTTTTTTGGTTTTGTTTTAAATTAATAAATAACGGTTTTTCGGGTTCCAAAATTAATAAAACTTAAAATCGATATTAAAAAAAACCTGAATTAATCTAAACATTCTGTAAACGCAAAAAGCCATTCTTTGGATAGGAGAAACGAAAACCACTTTCAGAACCCCATCATTTTTTTTGCTGTTGCACTGTGTAATTAATATTGATGATTAAGGCCCACTTGTATAACAGTTGGTAAACAGTTGGTTAACTCTTGATAATAATTATGTAATGATTAAGCTAACTTTCAACTTGTATAAACATTGATTAAAATTTAATTAATTGATCAACATACAATTAACAAATCGGTGAATTTTGTGTGGTTAACGCCGGGTTAGAACATACATAACCTTATAAATGTCAACGTGAACGCAATTTTATTCTCACGCGGTGACGTCACTAATGGTAACATAACCTAAGATTCTTTCAAGAATCTAATTTGTTCTGTGAATCTAATTTTCGCGGTTTTGAGGTTTTTTAAACGTTGGCAGGCGGTTTGGCCGATTTGTGAAATCTGCCCTGTTACAAGTGTACGTAAAATGTATTGCCATTGGCAAAAACAACAATAATGATGAGTTAAAACTAACTATTGGAAAATCGTTCATTTTGCCCATTTTAGTTGGGTTTTTTGCTCAATGGGGCGGGGTCGGTTGGGTTGTGTTGTTGAGTTTGGGTTGGTTTGGCTGCAGTAAAAGAGTCTCGATTTTATTATTAGTAAATTTTATTACATTTACATAATCAAATCAAATGACACGACACCTAAAAAGTAAAATTAAGTAAAATAATGCTGGCAGAATTATGTCCACTACACATGGGCTTTTTCTATTTTCGCCCCCCCCCCCCTCAGTAGATGTCTAAAACCGCCCCTGGGCAAAGTTGGCAGCCTTAGGTTTAACCAAAAACCAAAAGTAAACGAAGTAAACGTGAAAATAAAATTAAAATTATTTTGACGTGAGAATAAAAATTAAATTGCGTTCACGTTAGCGTGAGAATAAGAATAAAATTGCGTTCACGCTAGCGTGTGACTAGACACAGCGTTAAAAATTATCCTATTTTTTTTTGTTAGTATTTATCTGTGGTTAGCATTAAAATGGTAGAACATTTAACGGATGATGCAGATTTTTTTATAATTAGTAGAAATTGTTATTTTTCCCAGAAAACCGAAACTTTCGTGCTAGACCTGAATATTTTACAGATTTAAATATAGAAGAATACAGAAACAGATTTTGTCTTTCAAAAAATATTATAACTTTTTGAAATAAAGAAATATCAGCCATAATTTCTTTAAGAACTAATACAAAATAAGCGCTTTCTTTTATGCAAATGATTGAATTAACTTTACGATTTTTGGTAATGGGTTAATTTTGCATTCTACATGTTTTTATATTTTTTAACTACCTATTCAAAGCAATAGCCAAGATTTTTTTCCACTAAAGTTAGACCCTTTTACCACAATCTTTCATTTTTGACCAACAAGCCTATGCAAAAGCCATTTTTTTTGTATAATTTGTACAAAATATTAAAACCTTTAACCAAAAACACACATGCAAGAAGAAATGTAATTAAAGCTACTTACAATTGCACATTAATGTATGCAATAAATAAATAAATACCACTATACTTACTAAAATCTTCCTAAACAACAAAAATTATTAATATTAATTTGAGGAGGACATGGTTAATTTGACAATTACGAAAATTATGACATGACAAATACGAAAATTTGGTGATTTTTTAGTGAATTCCCCTAAATTTGAAAATTAACTAATTAAAACATAACCGAGTGTTGCACAACAAAATTTTCTTTAACCAGCTATTATTAATCCGTAATTTATTAATCTGTTGTTAATTGGACTTTTATACAACTGGGCCTAAATCAAATGTCATTTAATAATCAAATCAAATGTCATTTGAATGTAGGAAGTGTCTACGTATACTGTTTGTAGCGACGGTTATTATATATTTGCCCGCCACGGCGATTTTTTAATCTAATTAATAAAATTAACTTAGGTATTATTTTTATTAAAAAACATTTTATAAAGGGTCCAATCGACCTCCGCGACGGTGCTGTTTTTTAAATATTATTTAGTTGCTGCTGAGGAGCAGCAGACACATCTTAAAATGTATAATGGGTTGCATGCAATACTAGTATTAAATCGGCAGTAAAGTTCTACTTATTATTCGTTAATTTATAATTTTACTATTTTTAGACTTTTTTAAATTCGATTTAAAAAAATAACAAATAAAATCTTACGTTAAATAAACATTTGCATAATTTTATTTAATAATGAATGCTCATCCAATTTATGAAATAAAATATTATTTTAAAGTAATGATTTAGTAACACCCTGTATCTCAAAAATAAGCAAATGCTTATTTTCGAAATTAATCCCGGCGCATTCGCCATTTTTTACAAACATAATATTTTGCGCCTCCATAAAATCTGAACTATCCTCTGTGCACACGGCCATTACCGGAGCGCACCAGGGGTATTTTAGTCAATTATCCACTAGACTCGGTCGCTAATCTGCGGAAACGAAAGGTCCGGAAGCCGTGGGGCCGAGTGCATTGTTAAGTGCGTCTTTTGGCAGGCACAAAAGCCGTTTTTCTCTTTGCCATTTCACCAGACTAGAGTCGTATACTACTACTATAGTAGTCTGCGAGATGATGATGGCAGGTCTTAGCTTGGCACTCACGGATTTAAGGCGAGAAACTGCTTCTCATTCGCACGCTCGCGATCCAGATATACGACCGGATTGCCTAAATCCGATTTCATTTGCCCCCGCGTATACGCGTAAGGAACTGTGTTAAGTCGTGTTTTTACACCTTAACCGAATCGGGGTTAAGAATTAAGGGCAATGCAATGATTATTTTTTACCAACTTAATTTGCAGAAGAGGGTCAAACTATTATAATAAAAGTAACCAAACACCGGCGGACTTGCCTTAAATATTTTTCTACTCCCACCTTTATAAAACGCCCATTATCGTACATGTTTCCATGACACTAAGTGACCTTTTAAATACACATTGACAAGTTGTGACTTTACGGCGTTTTAGTCACGGGATGAAGTTAGCAACAGGTTTTAAGTCACAGGCTGAAGTTAGTTTTAAGTTAGTTGACAGTTGTCAAATGTCATACCATCGTTAAAATAAAGTCCCTTTCTTGTATAATACTACTTATTGTGAAAATTATTTTATTATCTTAATACAAAAATACAAAAGTATTAAATAGTTTCTCAACGCCAATTTTTGAAACTAAAACTTAAATTCGGGCACGGACTCTACTGTAAAGTGCTCATAAAACATTTTCTTTACTTTTACTGTAAAAAACTGTCCATTTTCAAGAAATACATTTCGATTTATAACCTTTATAATCTGTGTTTATAAAATATAAAAATTTGAAATTTGACGGTGACACACAGATTCCCCTATTGTTTCATAGATGGCGCATTTTAAGATAATACAAATACTTATTATTATCTAAAATGATTTAAATAAAATTTTTGTATAGAGCGACATCTATAAAACAATAGAGTAACCAATTTGGGAATCTGAAAATGTCAAATTTTTATGTGTAAATCTAAATGTATCCCTTGAAAATGGAACGTTTAATCCGATATAGAAGAAATTTTTTCGCAGTGAAAGTAAAAAAAAATGATTTATTGGCACTCCTCGGTGACGTCTCTATCCGATATTAAGTTAAGTCTAGTTTACTGCAGACGAAATTAAAAGGTCAGTACAATTTTATAAACTTTAAACAAATATTGGCGTTGAGAAACTATAATACTTTTGTATGTTTGTATTGAGATAATAAAATAAAGTTTACCTTTAGTATTATTTTAAATTTATTTTAACGATTGTATGAGATTTTTCAACTGTCAACTAACTTAAAACTAACTTCAGCCCATAACTAAAAACCTGTTGCTAACTTCAGCCCATGACTAAAAGGCCGAAAAGCCCCAACTTGTCAATGTTAATTAAAAGGTCATTTAGTGTCATGGAAACATAATAATAATAATAATAATAATAATAATAATAATAAATAATACCCTTTCTTAACTTTATTTAAATGTCAAAAAATAATTTTTATCCGAAATCGGCAGTAAAGTAGAACTTTACTGCCGATTTAATACGAGTATTGTATGCAACCCATTATACATTTTAAGATGTATCTACTGCTATTCAGCAGCAACTAAATAATATTTAAAAAAAGCACCGTCGCGAAGGTCGATTAACTTATTAATTGCAATACAAGAAAGTATTTCCCGTTCTTCTGTATGGAAATTTTACGGCAACAATTGAGGAGTGATTTTTCAAAAGGTCGTATTTCCATTTGCAACAATTTTTCAAAAAAATGACTATAACCTGTATAGATTAGGGCAATATAGATTATTAAAAAAAAATTCTGATGAATAATTAATATTACTTCAGACCTGCTGTCATACTTCGCCGTTAATACATGCCTTTTAACCATACCTTTGGGATTTTGTCAAAAAATTACATTCAAGTAAAAATGGAAATAAGGCCTTTTGAAAAATCACTCCTCAATTATTATCTGCCCCAAGGGTGCAGGAAATTAAACCTAAAGATTTTCCTTCTAGATTAGTATTTTGTTATTGGTCGTATTCCTAACTATTTAACGAACATTCTGTTTCCTGGCTTCACTCTTGATGGAATACCAACAAATTTTATGAGTGTTAATAGGGAATAACACGAGTTTTTTCTGAAATATGGGTATGACGCGGAGGGCCTAGGGCTTGTTCACCGCGTTCTCCTGACCTTAATCCCTTTTATGCCTGGGTTAATTATAACCTCTCGTCTATTAAACCCCAGTAAATATTATTAAAGATTTACAAGAAAGAGTTAATAATAATTGTTAAACCTTCAAATTAAAAATCAAGGAGGGACTAAATTAAGTAATGCGAAATACGAATCGTGGATTCAGATAAAAGGGGGAAATTTTTAAAGTTAATATTGTTTTAAATTATTTTAGTTTTTAATGTTGTTTGATAATAACTCAGGTGACTGTAAATTATTCTAAAATCAAAGTTAGCGCTAAAAAAATGGTTTCATTGTTTATTGATGCTTAATTCTCTTTCGTATAAATACCTATAAAATTCCCAAAAATGCCTCCTTGTTATTTGAATACAATTAATTAAGGTTATCTTTTTGTCAGTTTAACGCTGTTTTCAAAAAATAATACAATAAATGCATTTTTGTTGTATACAAAAAGTCTTAATTTATATTGTATTATTTTTACAAAATAATAGATTATGAGGCATTTTTGACCTCATAATCTTAGGAATTTATTTTATATTTTATGCTGTATAATCATCCCTTAAAATTTTTTAATGGAATTTGGAGACACCCTGTATAGATTTAATATTTTTTTATGACTAAATTCCAAAAGTACTCAATAGAACCCTATTAACATAATATGTCTCTAATATAAGTATTTCATAACCTTAAAGAAGTTAAACTCGAAAATACAACTAAAACTTAAGTTTCTTATTATCACATTAAATGCGACGCATTTATTCGGAGTTAAAAACGCGTGTAAAATACACCCAAGGACTCCTCGGCCCGCTTAAAGCTTTATTCGTCTTCACTTTACCCTCATTTCTTATATTCTCAAATAATGACTTTAAAGATTACGTTGAGTGGATTTAAAGTGCTTCCCTTACCCAATAATTGATACACTTATAAAATTTATGTATATGATCATAATCATATGATCTGCGATACATTTACATAGCTTTCCAACAATAATAATTCTAGAAGAGATCAAGGGATCTAAATCAAAATAGTATATTATGTATCAAGTTTGATAAATGCCATTTTAATTAGGCACGAGCGAGCTTTCGAGCAAGTGTTTAATTAAATGGGTGTCTAGAAAAGTTTATAAACGAGTTGCATACTTTACTTATTCGTCGACAAATACTTAAGTATTATTATCTAAAAATGATTTAAATTAAAAATTTGTATGGAGCGACATCTATAAAACAATAGAGTAACTATTCTTGTAAATGTCAAATTTCCATGTGTACTCAAAATGTATTCCTTGAAAATGGACTAACCACCGTTTAAATCTATATGCTGGTTTAAATCCGATATTGAAGCAGTTTTTCACAGTGAAAGTGAAGAAAATGTTTTATGGGCACTCCACGGTGGGGTCTCAACCCGAAACTTTTGAAGTTAAATCTTGCTTACTGCCGGCGAAATCAAAAGTTCAGCACAATGTTCGTATAAACTTTTCAAATATTGTCGTTGAGAAACTATTTAATACTTTTGTATTGTTGTATTGAAATAATAAAATAACTTTTACATTTAGTATTTTTTACAAGAAATTTTCTTGAAGAAAGGCACTTTATTTTAACGATTTTATGACATTTGACAACTGTCAACTAACTTTAGCCCGTGACTAAATCGCCATAAAGCCACAACTTGTCAATGTGTATTTATAAGGTCATTTAGTATCATTATTAAAAAATTATATTACAATATTTTTTGTCTAAGTACATTTTTTATAATTTTTGTAGTTTTCTATAGTTTTTGTATATTTTAAACTATATTTTTAATTTCTCATATTTTATTTTTTTTCCAATTTTTGAATATTTCTAACAATTTTTGTAATTATCTATGATTTATTTAAAAATCATATCCAATTACAAAAATTGTTATAAACTTTGCAAAAATAAGTATATAAAAAAATATTCTATGATTTTTTATTATTTTAATCAATATTCAATAATTTCTTATTTTATGATGAATATGATTCTGAATATTTTGTACTTAATCAATATTTTTTTACAATATGTATATTTGTAATTTTCCATAATTCTTTAGTTGTTTCTAAAATATACATAATATGATTTTTGTATTTTCTCTAATTCTTTTAAATGATTACTATTTATTTAATTTATAATTTCTTAAAATTTTTAGTACCTTTACGTAGGAATAAGTATGAAAATGCAACTTTTTGGGCCAAATTAAGTTTTATATTTCAAGATCATCTTTTTTAGCTCGTTTTATTTATTCCGGTGATACTTCAACTTTTTCATTCCTTAAAAGTGGACTATTGCTCTTTTTTGTGTACAGCATTTGAGGCATATCTCTTTTCAGCCAAGGATTTTTTGAATTTTGGAAAAAGGAAAAAGTCTCAAAGGGGGCCAAATCAGCAATTCCCAGACTAATGATAACTTTAAAGCCACTATTTTGCTTTAACGATTTTTTTTTCAATCAAAAGGAACTGCTAATGAAAGACACGAAAATAACTTAATAATTTATAACTTTTTTGGTTCTTGATTGTTTTTAAATCAAAAGTAGTTGTATAAAAATTTTATTTAGTATTTAATACTCAAAATATATAAATATAACACTATATTTTATCTATTTTGCTTGCATAATGACTTCATTATAACACCGTTTTATAGATGATGTAATGAGATACTTTATCACACCCAAAATTTTGATTTTATAGGTTGGCTATACTTTAAACAACATAATATTTGCATATTGGTTATAATATTTTTCTAGTACTTTTCTGGCAATAAATTTTGTTTATCACCAAAGAAAATCCTTTTTTTCTTCTTTAACATGAACAGCCGCTTATTGTAAATAAGTAAATTAAGGACGGCATGGCGAATCGATTTTGACATTAACATTTAAACCAATGACTGTGATACCAACTATCAAAAGTAAAATTCGACCAAATTACATTTAAGGTATAAAATTATTTTTTTTTATAGAATTTTGCAAAATAGATAAAATGACATAAAGAACTCATGTCATAAGACCTTTGTCGCACTCGTCCATTACAAAAATAAATATAAATTGTCCGCGTGCGACAAAATGACGTCTATTTTAAGTTTCTCAGCGGTAATATGTAGACTCTACATTGTAGAGACTCCAACGTGGAGTGCCAATAAAACATCTTACTTTCACTGTGAAAAACTGCTTCTATTTTGGATTTAAACGGCTGTTAGTCCATTTTAAAGGGATAAATATCGATTTACACAGAAAAATTTGACATTTTTCGCCGGTAATACAGATTCCCATTCTTACGGTTACTCTATTTTTGTATAGATGTCGCTACATACAAATATTTAATTTAAATAATTTTTAGATAATAATAAGTATTTGTCGTAGAAAAAGTATAGTATCAAACTCGTTTATAAACTTTTCTAGATAATGCCTTATTGACCTAATCGTGAGTAAAATGCCGTTTATCAAACTTGATACATAATATAGGTACTATAAAGTATTTTTATAATTTAAAAAATTTTTGTTCTGTGATATTATTCACAACTTTTTAAAAAGTTCTATGATATTTCCCTGACAAAAAGTTTGTATGTATAAGGTTTGTAATTTGCCATTTTCTATTTTAAGGTATTGGATATGCAGTGGTTTTGATTGCATTTTACGTTGATTTCTATTACAATGTGATCATAGCTTGGGCTCTGAGATTTTTCTTTGCTTCCTTTACGGACATGTTACCATGGACGACGTGCGATAATCCCTGGAACACTCCACTGTGCAGACCGGTAAGTAAAACGGTAAAAATCCTGTTAATTAAAAAAATGCACAAATCTCCCCGAATTGTAGTTATCGAGTTTCATGTGTGTTTAATTTTGAGTTAATTAAAAAATGTCATGTTTGTTTTAGTTCGACTTTCCCACGCAAAACATCACCGAATTTAATAGGACTGATATGGTGAAAACTATTCCAGGAGCGGACAATAATCGGTTTGCTTCGGCGGCTGCGGAATATTTTAAGTAAAAAAAATTTTTGTGATTTTAAATCTTATAGTTTTATATACCTGGTGTATCTGAGAATAGGCGCACCCCTGTAACGTTTTTATTTATAAAGATAGACACATGGTTAATTAGGATATAAAATGCCACTTATTAGAGTACAAAATTAATTTTTTGAACTTCCGGTTTCGCCGGAAATGATGCCAACTTTCGATTTTTAAATGGAATGCCCTATATATTTTTACATATTTGGAATCCTGAGAAACTTCTGAGTCAGACAGCATCCTCAAATGACATTTTGACGTTTCGTCATCAGAAAATGCATCATAATAAAGATCAATCTAGAGTGCTTTGAGAAAAACGAATTTTGACAAGTTTAGACTGCTGGGAATAGCGGAATAACAACTTTCTAAGGCAAGGTTCCATTTTTCAAGCATTGTGTGAATCCATTAGAAGAAAATAAGATAGTTCAAAGCACTCTAGATTGATCTTTATGATCACAGCAAACGGAAAATTATAGAGGTGTATAGGATGACGCCACGTTTGAATATCGATTTCTAAATCTCCCTACGGTATAGAGTTGTATTCGTCAGTCGAGCGTTTCAATACTCTCCACAGTATAGAGGTCGTAATTTCACTTTTGAACTAGTATTAATATAAAAATTATTTTATGCTTAAAAAAAACTATATACGACATGATTGTGATTTTTTTCATTTTATTAATTAATTAAGCTGTGTTGAATATTTTTCCTAAAGGAATAATTGCCAATGGGCCATTAATTCATTTGATCGTAGATGCTACAATAACCTGCACTGGTGTGTACTTTTTCATCAACCAGATTTAAATATTACAAAATTAACATATACCAGTGGAGATAGTGCAGGGTCTACCAACAGACCTAATTACTAAATTATTAAAGTTTAATAGCATATCGATCATTTTTCAACATAACCTCTTAAATTTTTAATACAAATATAGGTACTTTATATAATACATAAATATACTTAACATCATATCCTCTGTGCTTTACATACCTGAGTTGTTACGGTAAATAAAAATCAGACAAAGGAACCAAAGAAAGGAACTATTTTCAACAAAATCATATGGAGAAATGAGAAAATTCATCCATCAAAAGATCAAAACTTCTTGCAATATTACACCCTCTTTTTATACTCTCAGAAATATTGACTAGAACAGTATTAGAGAGACTCCAGTTTCTATAACTTGGTAGAGTAAAGAGAAGTCGAAACCGTTGCGATATTGCATTGCGCTGTTTTTGTATAATTCTCGGGGACATTAACGAAAATCATTGCCAGTAAAATTCGAAAAGCTTGAGTTTCTATGTCTCTGAGGAGAATAGGAATCCGAAGTTGCTGCACCATTGGACTGAACCCTTTTTTAATAATTTCTAGAGACATATGACTTCACCATTCGACAGGGTCGAGTTTCTACTCCTCTGTTGAATATAGAAAATCAAAATAATGTATCTTGTAAGACACCATTGAGTTTGACTTTAAATATAGTCGTGCATAGGTATAGAGCCGAAAAATATAAAAACAAAGCACGATTCAATACAGTTATGATAAAACTTTAAGATTTGATATTCAAACGCGGAGTCATCCTATACACTTCTATAATTTTTCGTTTGCTGTGATGATGCATTTTCTGATGACGAAACGTCAAAAGGTCAATTGAGGATGCTGTCTGACTCAGAATTTTCTCAGGATTCCAAATATGTAAAAAAATATATAGGGCATTCCATTTAAAAATCGAAAGTTGGTATCATTTCCGGCTAGACCGGAAGTTCAAAAAATTCATTTAGTACTCTTATAAGTGGCATTTTATATCCTAATTAACCATCCTAAATTTCATGTATTCATCTTTATAAAAAAAAGTTACAGGGGTGCGCCTATTCTTAGATACACCCGGTATTTTTATAATTTTCTTTTTTTTTAATTTTCTTTTCTTGCAAATTTTCTTTAGTTTTTAGTTTGGAATTTGAAAATATTGTATCGATCGATTGTTTTAAAAAATTTTTTTTATTTTTTTAAGATTTTTGTATACCTATTTCAATTTCATGGCGTACTACAGTAAGTGTTATCAAAGGGGACATATTTTTACTATAAAAAAATTATATGTATTAATACATATATTACATATATACGGGTGAATCTCACGAAATGTCCCCCGATGGTGTTACATTTATTAAAACTGAATGAGTTTGACCTACACTTTTATTGTCTTTTGATCTTTCATAATTAAACACATCCAAAGCAATCGAATCAAATATAAAATATTATTAAAAATTAAAAGAAATAATTTTTATAACCATTTATGTAGGTGTTACAAAAATTGATTCTATCCTCCGTGAATCTGTTTTTTCTTTAAATTTTATGCAACGGATGGCGCTTTAATCATTTTAAATAAGCAAAAACCTCTGTTTACGACATTATAGATGCATGTGATTCCTGAAGGTCAGTTAGAATTTATATGCAGATGAGAGTGTTGCTGTTTTATAATTCAAAAGTTTAAGTTCATTAATTTGCTATTTAAAAACCTATCCACCGTGAAGTGTAATATCTCAGTAAGTAGATTTTTTTTATAAATATTTTATGTATGCACTATTGTATTTTTAAAAATATTAAGGTGTCAAAAGATACAATAACTTATTTCAAATATAAAAAGGGAAGTTTAAAAAAACATACGAAATCCTAAGCTTTTTAAAGCTATAATATTCAAAATGTAGGATTTATTAAAATTCTTGCATTAGTGCAGAACCACTTATGTTATGTTATTACTAGACCTGGTGGCTTCCCAAAAAACCCATTCTAGACTAACAGTGAAACAAAAAAATAAAAAATAATCATTTTCACTTGGGGGACATCTCAATATATTCACTCATACATATATTAATTAATATAAAAGGATAAAAAACAATTTTATATAGACGTTTCAAAAATAAAAAGTTAAAATTTGTTAATAATAATAAAGCCTTGTTTATTTTGTATCCATAAAAACCATTTTTAACTACTTCGAATTTTGTTTTATTTTTTTTTAAACACAAAATATCCCTCCCCAGCATGTAGTTAGTGCGCCATTTTCGGCAAACCCTGTATTTGATTTCTTATATATTTTTTGTATGATTTTCAAGTATCTTAAAGAATAAATAATTTTCTTTATTATTTTTACTTTTATATTTTCTATTCTATTATTATTACCTAAATTTTAAACAAATTTCAAAGTATTGTTTTCTTAATGTCAGTCGTGCGATATTGGAACTTCACCAGAGCAAAGGTCTGCACGACCTGGGGGCCATTAAATGGGACATGGCGCTATGCCTCTTAGCAGTTTACGTGATATGTTATTTCTCCCTGTGGAAAGGCATCTCGACCTCCGGCAAAGTAGTCTGGTTCACAGCTCTATTTCCATACGCTGTCCTCCTTATTTTACTAGTCAGAGGCATCACTTTACCAGGGTCGGCGCAGGGCATCAAGTATTATTTGAGCCCCAACTTTAGCGCTATTGGATCCGCAGAGGTAATTGAATTTAAATTTTCTTAACTTTGTTTTTAAAAACTGACAATTCTTCTTTGATATTTAATGGGGTTAACCATTTTTTAACAATTTTTAGGACATTTTGGGACATTTTAGGAAATATATTTTAACTGTCAAACATAATGCCTTGGAATAGCCTAAAATGCATCACTGTTCAAAAAAATTATTTTAAAATTGCTAAACAAATTGTCTTGAACTATCTGAAAATAGTCTTATATCTTAACTAAACTGTCTATAACTGTTAAAAAAAAACCTTTAAAATGTCTCATTTATGTGCAGTTTATAAAAATTCATTATAATATTTGCTAAGAATGAATATTTTTTTAGGTTTGGGTAGATGCAGCGACACAAGTATTTTTCTCCCTTGGTCCTGGTTTTGGAGTCCTACTGGCTTACGCATCTTACAACAAATATCATAACAACGTTTACAAGTAAGTAGATATTATTTTAAACTTTGAAAAGCCGATTATAACTTAATAAGGATTAATAAGACCAAGTTTCTAAGCCACAATTACTTCTTTAGTTACTTGTAAAACATTTAAAGAAGGATAAAGTTATCTAAAGAGAGTCCCTGTATATTTTTTGTGAGATTTAGAAGAATATATATACAGCGTGTCTTCTTAAGTTGGCAACATATGGGAAACTTTCTTATTATTAATTTTACGAGGAAAAGTTATTTTTTATAAAAATTTTGCATGTTCTAAAATCTAAAATAAAATCATCAGATATCAAATTTTTTCAGTCATATACCTACTAGGTATGACAAAAAGTATGAATTTGGAACAAGAGTAAAGTACCAAACCTCGTATATACGACTGAAAAAATGTTATATCTGCAGATATTATGATGATTGTTTATCCACACATCTCCAGCCACACATTCCTAAACAGGTTCGCGGTCGGCCGCTAGAGCGCGCAGCGCACAGTGGGCTAATTATTTATAAAATTGTGTATAGTTTTAATTTAATATCTTTTAACAGCAATTTATCAAGCTCGCAATTAAAAATTAAGATTTAAATACAAATAGACACATGGATATAGAGACAGAAACCTTTTAAACTTCGTGTATTTCAAGTAATTTGTAAGACGTTTTAAAAAGTGAGGTTAGAACAGCAAGGCAAAACAGCAATTTGTAAAGTGTTCGATTATTAATACCATTAAAAGTTAAATTCAATTTAAGGAGGCTTTATTGAGAAACATCTATAGATCTATAGACTATAGAAACATTTTTATAAAATACGCAAATTTAATATTTTACACCAATATATTGGTGTAAAATATTAAATTTGCGTATTTTATAAAAATGTTTCTATAGTCTACAGTTCTATATTGTATGTGTTGATGGCGGTTTGCAAGGGCAGGCAAAAAATTACGTGATAAGGGGGTAAAAGTTAACATATAAATAAAATAATTTTGGGGGGTTTTGTTTAGGCACATCTTTTGGGGTGGGCACAGGGAATTTTTCAAATTTGCGTATTTTATTAAAAATTTATAAGTTATTTTAAAAGTGTGGATAGGGGGTACGTAAGGGCAGGCAAAGAATTTCGTGATAAGGGGGCAAAAGTTAACATATAAATAAAACAATTCCAGGGGGTTTTGTTTAGGCACATCTTCTGGGGTGGGCACGGGGAATTTTTAAAGTTTGAGTATTTTACTAAGAGTTTATAAGTTAATTTATACGCGTGGATAGGGGGTTCGTAAGGGCAGGCAAAGAATTTCGTGATAAGGGGGCAAAAGTTAACATATAAATAAAACAATTCCAGGGGGTTTTGTTTAGGCACATCTTCTGGGGTGGGCACGGGGAATTTTTAAAGTTTGAGTATTTTACTAAGAGTTTATAAGTTAATTTATACGCGTGGATAGGGGGTTCGTAAGGGCAGGCAAAGAATTTCGTGATAAGGGGGCAAAAGTTAACATATAAATAAAACAATTCCAGGGGGTTTTGTTTAGGCACATCTTTTGGGGTGGGCACGGGGAATTTTTAAAGTTTGCGTATTTTATTAAAAAATTATAAGTTATTTTAAAAGTGTGGATAGGGGGTTCGTAAGGGCAGGCAAAGAATTTCGTGATAAGGGGGCAAAAGTTAACATGTAAATAAAACAATTCCAGGGGGTTTTGTTTAGGCACATCTTTTGGGGTGGGCACAGGGAATTTTTCAAATTTGCGTATTTTATTAAAAATTTATAAGTTATTTTAAAAGTGTGGATAGGGGGTACGTAAGGGCAGGCAAAGAATTTCGTGATAAGGGGGCAATAGTTAACATATAAATAAAATAATTCCAGGGGATTTTGTTTGGGCACATCTTTTGGGGTGGGCACAGGGAATTTTTAAAGTTTGCGTATTTTATTAAAAATTTATAAGTTATTTTAAAAGTGTGGATAGGGGGTACGTAAGGGCAGGCAAAGAATTTCCTGATAAGGGGGCAAAAGTTAACATGTAAATAAAACAATTCCAGGGGGTTTTGTTTAGGCACATCTTTTGGGGTGGGCACAGGGAATTTTTCAAATTTGCGTATTTTATTAAAAATTTATAAGTTATTTTAAAAGTGTGGATAGGGGGTACGTAAGGGCAGGCAAAGAATTTCGTGATAAGGGGGCAATAGTTAACATATAAATAAAACAATTCCAGGGGGTTTTGTTTAGGCACATCTTCTGGGGTGGGCACGGGGAATTTTTAAAGCTTGCGTATTTTATTAAAAATTTATAAGTTATTTTAAAAGTGTGGATAGGGGGTACGTAAGGGCAGGCAAAGAATTTCGTGATAAGGGGCAAAAGTTAACATATAAATAAAACAATTCCAGGGGGTTTTGTTTGGGCACATCTTTAAAAATTCCCTGTGCCCACCCCAAAAGATGTGCCCAAACAAAATCCCCTGGAATTATTTTATTTATATGTTATATTGCCCCCTTATCACGAAATTCTTTGCCTGCCCTTACGTACCCCCTATCCACACTTTTAAAATAACTTATAAATTTTTAATAAAATACGCAAATTTGAAAAATTCCCTGTGCCCACCCCAAAAGATGTGCCTAAACAAAACCCCCTGGAATTGTTTTATTTACATGTTAACTTTTGCCCCCTTATCACGAAATTCTTTGCCTGCCCTTACGAACCCCCTATCCACGCGTATAAATTAACTTATAAACTCTTAGTAAAATACTCAAACTTTAAAAATTCCCCGTGCCCACCCCAGAAGATGTGCCTAAACAAAACCCCCTGGAATTGTTTTATTTATATGTTAACTTTTGCCCCCTTATCACGAAATTCTTTGCCTGCCCTTACGTACCCCCTATCCACACTTTTAAAATAACTTATAAATTTTTAATAAAATACGCAAGCTTTAAAAATTCCCCGTGCCCACCCCAGAAGATGTGCCTAAACAAAACCCCCTGGAATTGTTTTATTTATATGTTAACTATTGCCCCCTTATCACGAAATTCTTTGTCTGCCCTTACGTACCCCCTATCCACACTTTTAAAATAACTTATAAATTTTTAATAAAATACGCAAACTTTAAAAATTCCCTGTGCCCACCCCAAAAGATGTGCCCAAACAAAATCCCCTGGAATTATTTTATTTATATGTTAACTATTGCCCCCTTATCACGAAATTCTTTGCCTGCCCTTACGTACCCCCTATCCACACTTTTAAAATAGCTTATAAATTTTTAATAAAATACGCAAATTTGAAAAATTCCCTGTGCCCACCCCAAAAGATACGCCTAAACAAAACCCCCTGGAATTGTTTTATTTACATGTTAACTTTTGCCCCCTTATCACGAAATTCTGTGCCTGCCCTTACGAACCCCCTATCCACACTTTTAAAATAACTTATAATTTTTTAATAAAATACGCAAACTTTAAAAATTCCCCGTGCCCACCCCAAAAGATGTGCCTAAACAAAACCCCCTGGAATTGTTTTATTTATATGTTAACTTTTGCCCCCTTATCACGAAATTCTTTGCCTGCCCTTACGAACCCCCTATCCACGCGTATAAATTAACTTATAAACTCTTAGTAAAATACTCAAACTTTAAAAATTCCCCGTGCCCACCCCAGAAGATGTGCCTAAACAAAACCCCCTGGAATTGTTTTATTTATATGTTAACTTTTGCCCCCTTATCACGAAATTCTTTGCCTGCCCTTACGTACCCCCTATCCACACTTTTAAAATAACTTATAAATTTTTAATAAAATACGCAAATTTGAAAAATTCCCTGTGCCCACCCCAAAAGATGTGCCTAAACAAAACCCCCTGGAATTGTTTTATTTATATGTTAACTTTTGCCCCCTTATCACGAAATTCTTTGCCTGCCCTTACGTACCCCCTATCCACACTTTTAAAATAACTTATAAATTTTTAATAAAATACGCAAATTTGAAAAATTCCCTGTGCCCACCCCAAAAGATGTGCCTAAACAAAACCCCCCAAAATTATTTTATTTATATGTTAACTTTTACCCCCTTATCACGTAATTTTTTGCCTGCCCTTGCAAACCGCCATCAACACATACAATATAGAACTGTAGACTATAGAAACATTTTTATAAAATACGCAAATTTAATATTTTACACCAATAGATGTTTCTCAATAAAGCCTCCTTAAATTGAATTTAACTTTTAATGGTATTAATAATCGAACACTTTACAAATTGCTGTTTTGCCTTGCTGTTCTAACCTCACTTTTTAAAACGTCTTACAAATTACTTGAAATACACGAAGTTTAAAAGGTTTCTGTCTCTATATCCCTGTGTCTACTTGTATTTAAATCTTAATTTTTAATCGCGAGCTTGATAAATTGCTGTTAAAAGATATTAAATTAAAACTATACACAATTTTATAAATAATCAGCCCACTGTGCGCTGCGCGCTCTAGCGGCCGACCGCGAACCTGTTTAGGAATGTGTGGCTGGAGATGTGTGGATAACTTCACACAAACATCATGATTGTATTTTAGATTTTAGCACATGCAGAACTTTTTATGAAGAATAATTTTCTTCTTAAAATTAATAAAAAGTTTCCCATGGGCATCATGTAGATATGTTGCCAACTTAATACTAATATATACAGGGTGTTTCACATTCGTGGTCCATAAGAAGTTTATGGGGATGGGAAAAAGATATCGATTTGAAATTTTAAAAGCGTTTATAATCCAGTTAAGTATATTTTTCTAAAATTTTTAATGCTACTAATTAAGTGTTTGGTAAACATTATTACTGATAAAAAATAGCAGTCAGTGACTTATTAAAAACATTGATAAGCCAAACATTTTAAAAATTTAAAAGTTTTACAAACAGTATATGCTAATTATTAAAAAAACTCAACAAAGCTGTAGGATCTCAACTAGAAAAAGCACTAGCTCATTGAAGACAATACAATAAAAAAAATATTTTATGAAATATTGTTTTAAGGTTTCAAAATTTCCACCGCCATATCCGAAAACCTAATGACAAAAAAGTTATAGGCAATTTATCATTGGCGAGCATTTGTCAAATTTTAACGAACAAAAATTACCATTAGGTATAGTAATTTTAATCATAATTTAATGTATAATTTAAAAATGTAAAAATATATGGGGTGTTCTATTTGATATCTTTTTTCGTACCCCAGTAACTTCTAATGGACCAAGAATGTGAAACACCCTGTATATGGTTTTTTATTTAGATGTCGCTCTATACAAATATTTAAATTAATTAGTACCTTATACTTTATTTTTTATAACATTATTTTTTAGTCATTCATTTTTATCAAGCTTTGCCCGTGCCCAATTAAAATTCAATAATCAAACTTGATCAATAATAAAGTTCTCTATTAAATTCTTACAATTATTTATTATAACATAATTTTATTCTTTATTTAATATTTTAGGGACGCTATTTTGACGAGCGTAATCAACTGTGCAACCAGCTTCATAGCTGGTTTCGTAATTTTTTCGGTGCTTGGATATATGGCTCATGCCGCTGGACGACCCATACAAGAAGTGGCTACAGAAGGACCAGGCTTGGTTTTTATAGTATACCCAGCAGCTATAGCCACAATGCCGGGTAGTATATTTTGGGCTCTTATATTTTTTATGATGCTTTTAACCCTTGGATTGGATAGTTCGGTGAGAAAATTACTATACTTTACTTTGCGTGATTTCGTAAGACCAACATTTTCTTTTTAGTTTGGAGGTTCGGAAGCCATTATTACAGCGCTAAGCGACGAATTTCCCAGGATTGGACGCCATAGAGAAATTTTTGTGGCATGTTTGTTCTCGCTTTATTTTTTGGTTGGGTTGGCATCTTGCTCGCAAGGTGGATTTTACTTTTTCCACCTCTTGGATAGATATGCTGCTGGATATTCAATGCTTGTTGCGGTGTTTTTTGAAGCTATAGCTGTCTCGTGGATATATGGTAAGTAATATAAAAATTAACAATATTTTTTAAATTTGTTTATTTTTATTAAATTTAGTAAGTACCTATAGGTACCTCCTACGTATTATACAATGGTGGATTGGAATATTTTATATATTTTTAAGTTAAATTTCTTATTTACGACATTTTGATTTTTGGCAACCCTGGTTGCAATGTTGTTTTGTAAATTACAAATTGTAATGAAAATATTTATTTCTTCAAATAAACTGAAGTAGTAAGGAAAAACAGCGTTGAGAGTAGACCGAACAGAGGCGAAATATTTATAGCCTGTGAAGCTCCTACTATTTACTATTTACTTATATTAGCCAGTTCGCGTCTATTTGTCGCTGCTTAAGGCAAGAAAATTGAAGCTTGGACTAAAGATGTGGTGGTTGCAGTGTGTTTAGAGCGGGTGTTTTTATTTTGATTTAGATTAAATTTTATTAAAACCATTTTCTGATATTTCATAGTTCAAACGCCTTTTTTAAGAATAGACGAAACTGAAAAAGACAGATATTGGGCAGTCGTCCAACGCCAAAAATTTTATTAATATTTAATGATAAGCAATATTCACGAACTTTTCAAATATCTTGGTACTAAACCTAAAAGTGGCTATGCGGAAGTATTTGTTAAGAAAGCTTTTTTGCTGGCATCGCGTCAAAAACAATTGTATTTCAGGGGGTGGGTATTCCGATTTCATTTGTATTTTATTTGTTTTATATGTATATATTTTTATCCATCCATATAAATAAATTTTTAAGTTCCAGATATAGGTACCTATATTTTAAAGTTTTAAAAAACGAACTTATGTTTTTGAGTTTGGCAATTTGGGTTAAGATTGCTTTGATATTTTCTTTGTTTTGTTTTTTTACTTCTTTTTTATTATAATGGTTTAATAGGGCTATCGGCTATTTTAAAAAAGATCAATGCGTTATTTCTGTAAACTTAACACTTTCACTACATACTTTCTTCCTTGTTTTTAAAGAGTGAATGACCTATCTGTACCTGCACTTATAATTTGCAAAGATACTAGAACATGTGCGGTAGGAACAGTACTGATCAAAAATATTGTTTAACAAAATTAATATTAATATTAATTAAAAAAAAAACAAAATTAAAAACAAAGTGAACCGTGTGACCTTTAGAAGGGGTCAAAAGTTATGGACGGCCCCTTATAAAAATAGTAATAAAATTAAATTTAAAAATTCTACAAATATTTTACCAAACAGTTTGACATTTTGTTTCCAAATTTTTTTAATTTTATGATTTTTGGGTATTTTTGTAATTTCCTATGGTATTTTAAAGATATTTATTATATATTTTTATATTCTCCTCTTTCTTACTAATTTTTAACAGAATTTTTTGTAGCATATAACTCTAATAAGGAACCACTGTAACAACTACATACACCATACTCACCTCTGTAAAATCTTTATTTATTGTGCGATTTTAACCGGATTTGTTTTAAAGTGTAGATTTTAATAAACAGTATTTTTGGAGCCAAACACGCCATATTTTTACAAAATATAAGGTCTAAATTGTCAATTTTTAAGAGTATATTTTTAAGAATTCATATTAACAATTTAAAAAAATTAAATTGTATTAAATTTAGGAGTAGGAAGTAGGAACGATTTTGTATTAAAAATAGTATAAATATTTCCATGCTTAGTTTTGAAAAATACAAAAATTCTCTACAATTAGATTTTTGTCATGTCTACTGCACAAGAGCTACAAGCCTGCGCATCCATTACTCCAGGACAAATATGAAAGGGTATTGAAATAAATTGTTGATTAGTACAGGTGGAATCTATTTTTTTGTTTCATTGTTGTTTGTATTTCGTTTTTTATTTATTAAAACTAAGCATAAGAATTTTTATACCTTGTTACTATTAGTTTAATTTTACAATGTGGCTCCCGTCCCGAGGCGGGACTTAACTTTGATCCCGACTGACGTCACACACTGTAAATCCATTTTTATTCCGCGAGCGTTTAAAATAAATGTTAAGCTGGATGGCTCAGATAGTAGGGCGGTCGCTTGATATGCGAGAGGTAGGTACCGGGTTCGATACTACTAGAAACTTTTTGTATTTTTTTATTTTACAAATTTGTTGTTCCTTTGTTAAAAAGTGTTAGGTTGGGTTGGGTTGGTTGGTTTGGTTGGTTTGTTTTAATTTTATCGTAACATAACAAATCTTAAAATTATGACGTTTCTCGGGACGGGAGCCTCAGCAAAATTTTATTTCAATTTTATTTTCATGGATAAATTTTTGTATTGTGCATTTTAAATTTGACTAAAAAATCGTTTCTACTTAAAATGTTTTAATAAAATTTAATATAGGGTCGTTTTCAGGGGTGGTGAATCCGGTGCCGTGCGTAGATTTAAAAAACAATCTCTAATATCAATTCTTAAAAAAACTGACATAGTAGGCCTTGTATTTTGTAAAAATATGGTATTTTTTGCTCCAAAAATACAGTTTATCATGATCTAAACTTTAAAGAAATCTGGTTAAAATCGCACAATAAATAAAGAGGGGTAAACTTACCCCTCTTTATTTATTGTGCGATTTTAACCAGATTTCTTTAAAGTTTAAGTTACTTGTAACAATCAAATGGGTTTTGTTGCAAAAATGGTGAATGCGCCGGGATTAATTAATTAATCTAGAATGTGTTCATTACTTAGCTACATATCTATGAATCATCGTCCCAACAAAACAAGTATTGAGAATATTGCCTCAATCGGTCAAGTCGTTCAGAAGTTACACAATCATAACAGACGTACGCAACTATTATAATACATAGATCTTAAAACATTAAGATAACATAAATAAAATTCAAATCAAACTCTGTACTTTTATATATGTACTTAAAACAACAGCTTGGTATGTATACTAACCGTATACGGTTAGTGTACCATTTTCGGGACACCCTGTATATTTCCTAGATTTAAAAGGTATTTCCATATTTTTCAAGCTCTTCTTTTTGATTTCATTCCCAGGTATCCAAGGAGGTATCATTTACAAAAAATAACACACATTTAAAATAACTAAACTTTATATTCCAAATACGTTTTTTAAGTTTTGTCAAGGGTATTTCCATTGTAACGGGTGCGACACTAAAAGTGCGTTTTTTTATAATAATAAAGTGTGTGTTTATATATATCAAGATACGTTAATATAAAAAAAATAGTATGACAAATTAGGTATTTAACTCAAACAAAATGACAATAAAAACTTGTAAAGAAAACCTTTTATAACGTCATGAAGCGCGACCTTAGAAAATCGGCAAGTGCGACCAAGTTGGCTTCTAAAGTTGATACTGTAAAATTTTGGATGAAAGCATATCACGGTGCTGTTCTGAGAGGTGATTTTTGGACTTTCTGTGAAACCTAATTTTTTTTATATTCTTGTTAATTAGGTCATAACTAAAATTTTAAGAGCAAAATAAAAAAATTTTTACGGTTTGAATTGTTTTAATTGGCTGTTTATTAAAAATATTATGCACTCCGCAATTATCCAATTAAAACTAGCGATTTAATTTAAATATTTAATATTTGCATAACTAAAAAAAAGGTATTAACAATTTTTTTATATATTTTACTGTTTTGTTGCAATAAACGTTCAAACTTTTAATCTAACCTTTGACGTATACATTTATGTTCCGTTAATTAATATATCCTTAAAGGTTGCCATGAAACTTAGATCTATTAAAAATTTATTTGATGTTTGAATTGTCATTTTCAGTATACGTATTCTATAATTTTTGTTTAGTTTTTTAAAGTATTTTTTATAAAGAAAAATGAAAAATTGTAGTAAAAGTTACGAAGAAAGGACCGGTTTAAAGTTTATCGGGCCGATAACTTTCATGTCTTGGCAATATCTAGTATCCAAAGAAATTATTCGTCAAATAAATCAAAAATGAATAAATCGGCCCTAAATAAAATTTGGCACCCTTAGAATTATTGTTTAATAAATGTATACTATACATTTAACCTTAAATTAACTTTAAACGTGTATTACAACAAAACAGTAAACGATATAAAAAATGTAAAGACCTTTTTTAGGAAATTAACTAATCTTTAATCTGATTTAAAAAGTTATGATAATATTTAAATAAAATCGCAAGTTTTAATTGGAGAATTGAAAGTGTGCATACATATTTTTAATAAACATCCAATTAAAACAAAATTAACCGTCAAATTTTTTTTTATTTTGCTCTTAAAATTTTAGTTATGACCTACTTAACAAGAATATAAAAAAAATTAGGTTTCACAGAAAGTCCAAAAATCACCTCTCAGAACAGCACTGTGATAATATATTATAGTAATATTTTTTTGTGCGAAACTTAAATAGTAACCTTAAACAAGCACGTATTTTAAATGTACAAAAATTGCATACTTTATTTTCTAAAATGTTCTTAAAAATGTAACGGGTGCGACATTTAAACATTTTATCAAGTACTGAAACTCTTCCGTGTTTATTCTTAATGTCAGCTTCTTAGCATCACAATGTACGAATATTTTAAGGTTATACATTACGTCGCAATTAAACTATTTGACTTCAGATATAGTTGTTATTTTGTTAAATAACACATCTGATTTTTTGTCAAGGTGGGGTAAGGTTTCGTGGAAATTCTCTCAGGCATTCTTGTAATTTTTCTTATTATGGTTTAAATTTTAGTTTATTTGAAGTTTTCCGGTATATTTTACTTTTTTTTACTTAATTAAATATTTTTATATTTTTAGGAACCCAAAGGTTTTGCGACGATATCAAAGACATGATAGGCTTCGCGCCGGGTCTCTACTGGCGATTTTGCTGGAAATTCGCCGCCCCAGTTTTCCTGCTTTTCATCATAGTCTACGGACTTCTGGGCTACGAACCACTGAGCTACGAGGACTACGTCTATCCCGCCTGGGCTAATGTTTTGGGCTGGACCATCGCAGGCAGTTCCGTCATCATGATCCCGGCAGTGGCGATAATTAAGATTATTATGACGCCTGGATCTTTCGTTAAGGTAAATGTTAATGTTTTTTTATTTTTTTTTTCGACACAGTGGTGTTATAAATGATGTTTGGTGTCATTTAAACGGAAGCAGACGTCAGTGTGCTACCGGGGCTATTTTGGATATAAATTAACTTCCTTTTATGTAAAAATAAATTTGATTTGATTTTATTTGATTTGATTTGATTTGATTTGATTTGATTTGATTTGATTTGATTTGATTTGATTTGATTTGATTTGATTTGATTTGATTTGATTTGATTTGATTTGATTTGATTTGATTTGATTTGATTTGATTTGATTTGATTTGATTTGATTTGATTTGATTTGATTTGATTTGATTTGATTTGATTTGATTTGATTTGATTTGATTTGATTTGATTTGATTTGATTTGATTTGATTTGATTTGATTTGATTTGATTTGATTTGATTTGATTTGATTTGATTTGATTTGATTTGATTTGATTTGATTTGATTTGATTTGATTTGATTTGATTTGATTTGATTTGATTTGATTTGATTTGATTTGATTTGATTTGATTTGATTTGATTTGATTTGATTTGATTTGATTTGATTTGATTTGATTTGATTTGATTTGATTTGATTTGACGTATTTATTTTCACAAGAAAAATTTTTTAGCGCATAAAAATTCTCACAACCCCATGGAGAGACACCCAAATGGGCACGCAAGCGAACGGGGTGGTACAATCAGAAAGTAACCAACATAGGCTGGCAACCCCCGAAACCCCGGTACAGTCCCCTGTAGAGGTCTGAGATAAAAGAATAATTTCCAAATTTAAGGAGTATTATGTTTAGTTGTTTTTATTTGTAGCCCTTGCATAAGTACGATATATTTGTTATACTTTCTTAGTGAATAAGACTACAAAAATATTGTAGAAAAAATGTAAGCAAATTTAGTTGTGTGTAGATTATAAAAGACGTATTTATCGGCAATATTAATTAAACATATTTTATCTATAAGTACTTAATTAATATATAGTAATAATTTAGTAGCTTATATAAATGTATAAATAAATATTTATATTGCTATGGCAACCTAGAGGGCTAAGGCTGACGCCACCTTAGATCAAAGAGTTAAATGTTTAAAATAAAAATAGTTATAGAAATTAATAGAAAAAATATCCAAACAGCCATTTGGATATTTTTTGCCTTAACTTAGTATCAACCAAAGACCAAATTATTAATTTATTTATATTTTAAAAAAATGCTTAAACAGCCATTTAAGCATTTTTTAACAAACTTATGAAAATAGAAAAAAACAAAATACATTTATATTTTTAGAATGTATAATATTTTTAAGTACAAAAGTTTGGTCAAGACAGCCATTGCGACTAAACTACTAATATGTATATTTATTTACAATAAAATTATTTTGTTTCAAAATTTGAATTTTATTTCTGTCAAAAAATTCCCATGAAAACTGCAGTAGGTTTTATTATTTATCATTTTTTTGGATTTTATTTCAAGCCTTGAAAAAACTAGAACATTAGGAGGAGAAGTAAGTCTTTTTGTGCTGAACTCAAAGTTTGAAGGGGGATTCCTACAATTGTTCTGTAAAATGTGAATTGAGCGAAGCACACGTCGAATTCAAAAATAAGTTGTAAATCTAGGCAACCCAGATTACACAATTTTTTTAAGTTTAAAATGATTTAAATTAGTTTTACCGATTATGCTTTTATTTAAAAACATACAATTTTTGGTTTAACTGGTTATTTATTAATAATGTTTGTTTAGTCTTTTATAAATAACGAGATAGAAACAAAGTAGGTAGTTCATTTGCCCTGAAAATGTTTATAGAGCACTGTTGCCAAACTTACGATATTAAGCGGAAACGTCATTTTTAAATCCTATCTTTAGCGAGTTAAAGTCAAATTTAACAAATAGCTTCGTAATATAAAGCATTTAGGTGAGCTTAAAGGCAGTTTTTGATACTTCGGTTGCTTAAATAAGCTTTATGTAGCTTAAATTAATGCAAACGTTGTTTATTAGCATAAAGACTTGACAACGTGCGTCTGGGGCGCATGGTGAAAATTGATTTTCGGTTTTTTCTCGATTCGTATGTTTTGAAACGGCCGTCGCGATGTCCGCCGTAAACGATTCTGTTTTAAGTGACGAAGAATTGAAAATATTCAAGGCGATCGAAAAAAACGACTGCGTACTTTTGAAAACCCTTCTCACCGACCAGAAAAATGTGAACATTGTCGATGAAAATTCCATGACCCCTTTGCAACATGCAGCGTATAAAGGCAATGCAGAAATAGTGCAAATGCTACTTGATCAAGTAAGAAAAATCCTCATAAAAAATAGGGTTATGTTACAAAAATCTTGTTTTAGGGGGCCAATGTAAATCTATGTGAACACCAGCACAAATACACAGCTTTGCATTTTGCTGGTTTGTCAGGGAATGTAGATTGTTGCATATATCTACTTTTAGCAGGGGCCAAGTCCGATGTTACCAATTCCGTTGGTAGAACACCATCTCAAATGGCTGCGTTTGTAGGTCACCATAATTGTGTGGCTACGATTAATAACTATGTCCCCAAAGAGAATGTGGATATATTCACCATCGCAACAGATGGAAAAGATACTGAATTGCCTGCTTTCATAGCCGATAGCTTCCATAAATTTATAATGCAAGTCAATATACACCCTGTTAAAGTTGTGTTAAATATCCACAATTATGTAGGGTTAGGTGAACATTTACCAGAGTGCAAAAAAGTACTGGAACTAATGTGCGAAAAAGAAATGAAAAAGGGGGCTGAAAACAATGAAACCATGGCATTTAAATTCCACTACCTCAGCTATGTAGTCGGCGAAATCATTAAAATAAAACAAAAACAAACCACCAACAAAACTGATGATGAGAAAAAGTTGGACATAACTGAGTTATTCACGAGGAAAATCCTAAAACCAGGCCGCCAAGGTGTCTTGGAATTCATGGAAGGTTTTATCAAGGACTGTGTACGAGAATTTCCTTTCAGGGAAAGCAACTTATTCCGGCAAATAGTTGCCTCTCTAACAGGGGACAACCCTGCTGGTGCTTTAAACGTTCTGAGTGCAGCTATTAATGGACAAAGGGGCTTCATCGATAACGCTTCCATGTGCAGCACATGTGGTGAGGAGAAAGCCCCCAAAAAATGCTCCAAATGCAAAGTTGTGCAATACTGTGACAGAAATTGCCAGCGCTTGCACTGGCACTGGCACAAAAAAGCCTGCGCGAAATTGGCGCAAAATCCAGAATACCTAGACAAAACCACCCCTGACACCAATGAAATTTCTTCAGAGCTACAGAATTTTCTTATTAACAGCGAAAAATAAGGACTGATGAAGAGCTTACCAAATTACAATATTTAAGTAGGTAAATGTATTTAAAACTATTAATATTATATCCTACTTGTATTATTATTAATCTGTTTATACAAGGTTCATCCGACTTTTATTTGTAGACAAATTTTAAGAAGAATAAACAGTTATTTTGTTTTATTTTAATGAAGTTTATTAATCAAACTTATTATAAAATAACATCTTAGTTGCGTCAAGAGTCTGTAGGTAAATACTACTGAAACTATACAAAATCAAAAGAATTCAAGAAAACTAAACTCTATGTGAAACGGTACTTAACCAGCATCTCTCAAACTTTTTGTTTAGTATTCTTGGCTGATCTAAACAATTTGACTTCATTTTTGACAGGTACAAGCTTGATCTATAAAAGTATATTGTGCGACTTGTGGGAGAAAGAGGAGATTCCTCAAGAGTGGAGTTAGGTAACACGCGAAAGGAATCTTATCTTTTGACCAATAGTCACACACAATACCTATTAAAAAACCGCAAAGCCAATTTTATTTGATATTTTATCTGACAGCTGTCAATTAACCTCACCTTTTTCCAACTTCATAACCTAGGCGAAATGTTATTTCGCCCACTAGTGGGAGAAGTAAAATATCGCCCACCGGTTAATGTTAAGAAATGAATTGGGAGCTGAATAAGATTAATTAATTTTGCAGCTTCGACACATTTCGTTTTTTAATGGTGTTGTATAGAATATTTTACAAATGTTATGTTTAAAACTTAAAAATTTTGTGAAATATGTCATAAGTACAAAACCATTAAAAAGTGTTTATCAAGAAATGTTTCGAATTTCAGTTTTTTGTTTTTCTTATACCATGGTATTTATTAAACCAAACTGCTTATAAATAGAAAATCAGCTCGTAAACGCTTTATTATCTTAATTTAAAATTCTTTGATTCTTTATTTACATAAGATTTCTATTTAGTCGTATTATTGGTGACTATGGTTTATTATTGGTTTCCTGTTTGGGTAGCGCAGATTTAGGCAAACATTTGCTGGTTGCTCGTTTTCAACTTGGTAATCAGTAAGTTATTTAGGTAATTTGCTTATCTTGCAGACCAATTAGCATTATGCGAAAGATTTCGGTGATATGCTAAGTAAACCCTTAAATTTCGTCTAGTGACTAGAATCTGGGCACAAGGGTTAAAATTTTATTACATGCTTTTGTAGTTCTTAATGTATTCAAAACAAACTATTGACTGCAAACTATTTTATTGATGTTTAAACATCATTAAAATAGTTTAAAAAATGGATGGAGGAATGCCCAAGTTTTTGTTCTTCACGAAGTCCAGACCTAATGTTTTATGCAGACCCCTTAAAAAATTATACAGAACAGCTAAAAATTAGAATTTTTAATGCTATTCGGTCGATCTCAATAAAATAAATTCAAAGAAGTTATAACTAGGGACTGGATTGTAGGCAAACTGCATATCGTCAATTTTGATAGGCCGTTAAAAATTCTTATTGCAAATGAGTTCTGGAAGTTTTTAGTGCAATTTAACCCGACAGCAGTTTAGCCCTTTTTCAAAAAATACTAAATGCTTTCCTAATGCCTTTTGGTATTTTTATTTTTTTATTGCTGTTTTTTTAATAAAAGCAATTTTTTTTAATAAAAAACGATTTTTTTTTAATGCACGCAACCAAATAGCAATTGCTCTATAGAATGTGTTGCGATTTAGCACACTATAGTGTGCAACGATAGCATATGCTTTTCATTTAAAATCCACGTCAACTTTTGAGTTTAAAAAAATTGTATTATAATTCAAATTTGTTAAAAGAAAATTAATGATTTTTTTTACTTGGTGTCCGCAAAGAAAGTTTAATGGCTAAAATCTCACGTAAGGGACAGGGGGGTCTACCACATCTTACCAAACCTCACCAAGGGGGCCCAAATTATCAGAAAAATGCCTCACGTAATTGATGGATGTCTCCGAACACAAACACACTATTCAAATTCCACACATATTGCCAACACTGTATACATGACAAGTTAACACAACAGTTGTTGCTTTCGCAATAAGATGCGCAGTACAAAATTTTGTTTAACTAATTTTAAATACTATTTTGTCCAAATTTGGCATACAAATTTGAGTAGGAAATTTACCCTAAAAGTTAGAGTAAAAACGAGAAGTTCTAAGGGTTTGAAGACAAGCAGGCTATTTTATCAAGAGCAAATTTTTCTGATAAAAAAGAATAATTATTATTTATAATTATCTATGGTCAATTTTCACATCCGCTTCCGCATCTGGTTCAGCATTTTTGTTATATCGAAAGTAGGATTTTAAAGTGTCGAAAAAAAAACAGGAAAATTGGAAAAAACTTTGGAAAAATTGGCTTTTTTTGGGGAAAAATTAAATTTATTTTTGGAAATATACACATTTGAAAAAAAGTGGCAATGAACAACTTAACATTATTTTAATTTAAAAAAATTAACTTAACATTGAATTAAATTAATTTAAGAAAATAAACGTTATACTGTCGGTTGGGTCTTCATTGCAAAAAGGAGTCCATTGAAAATATCCAATTACAAAGAATGATTTATAAAGTCAAATTACAAAATTATAAAAAGTATTATATACTTTGTGTCAAATAAAACAAAAGTTATGTTAATACAGTACCGAATATGTTTTTTGCGAACCGATAGAATATTCTTACTAAATTAAAATAAAAGAAATAATTATTATAATTATAATAATTCTATTCAGCGTCGAAAATTCACTTTTTTCTCGATATCACTGTACGGACAGTACCTATTCCTAAAAATTGACTTTTGCATTTTCTGGTTTGAATAAAATGAAAAAAATTTAAAAGTCAATTTTTCTGAAAATTACCCAATTTTTCCGTTTTTTTTCTTCGGAAAACCGGTTTTGTTGCGCTGGCTCATTTTTTCCGGAAATTTTAAAACCCTAATCGGAAGCTTATCTTTATTTCCTAGAAATGGCGAGTGTTCAAGTATTTCGTAACACGTTAAGGGGCCTCTCCCCGAGGGGTGAAAATTCCGAAAATGTATGTTACGCGTGTTAATATAGGAACGTTTATTCCTTAATTAATATAAAAATTAAATATAAAGCGGACGGACGGGACAAATCACAAACCTGTTTTTATAAAAAAAAATTGTTGGGAATATATTATATATTATTTTTGCATGAAAATTGTCAAATATATTCTTTTTTTATTAGGCTATACATTAAATAAAAAAAATCGCAAAAAATATTTTATAAAAGTAGAGATAATTTAAATATTTGTTAGGTGTGATAAAGATAAATCTTTTTTTGTCCCGTCCACACCTTTCAATTATTAAAATTATCTCCACTTTTATAAAATATTTCTTGCGTTTTTTTTTTATTTAATATATAACCTAATAAAAGAAGAATATTTTTGACAATTTTGATGACAAAATATAAAATAGGTAAATATTCTACATTTTTTTTATAAAAACGGTTTTGAAATTCGTACATTTCGCGCGCTTGAAATGTCCGCGTAATAAATAAAAAAAAATGGAAATTTTTTATAGTACTTGCATTCGCTTCCGTACCGCTTCTGCAAAAATTTACTATTATATCTGTTTCCGCTTTTGCTTCTGTTATGCACACTTTCGTTGCATCACTAATTTACATAAATAAAACATTAAAATAATTGAATACAAATAAATATTAAATATTTATAATAGCGTTTAGTGAGGATAAATTGTAAAACATAGTTTTAAAAAAATGAAAATTTCTACATAATCTTAATACAAACTGTTTAAATGTTTTTATTACTATTATATTTTTCTAAAAATTTTGACGAGTCCCAAGAAATTCCTACGCCTATCTATATACAAATATCTGTCCAACAAAACTAATATTAATTATTTTAAAATTTCAAGTCAACTCTAACATAAAAAAATCACTCCGGGGCAATAAAACCCGACAAAACGGAAGTACCCCTAAGTACACTATTTCCGCATCAAACCGTTCGACAATCGTTTTTTACCTAATTTTAGGTACCTCGCTTAATGCATATCATAAACCACGTCGTTGTTATTTCCGTTCGGGTCCGATTATCGCTTGTCTCGACGACGAAACTACCACCAGTTGACTTGCGAGGTGTCGAAAGGTAGCGGGTGGCCAGGCGCCCAATTCTCGGCCGTCCAGATTCGTCGGTGTCTGTGACACCCCTGCTTGTCGCCGTAGAACTTTTCGCTAAGTACTTTCGGTAATTAGAACACTAGACTGGGACTGTAAAAGTGGAGGGGTATGTTTATTATTGCGGTTTATTAACTCTAGATTAACTGCATAGGAATTTATTACCTTTGGGTCTATAGAAGTGTGATTCGCTTACCTGATTCATTAAAGGGATTTGGCTAGCTGGCGACACTGTGTTATTACGGGAATTTTAATTTTTAATCGTGTCTCGTGCTTATTGTCTCTAATAGACTGTACCACCCATTTCGTACATGTTTCGGTTTCGGTGTTATGGGACTTTTTAAATACACATTGACAACCTGTGGCGCTTTAGTCACGGGCTAAACTTATCTCAATACAAAAATAGTTTCTCGACGCCAATATTTGAAAAGATTAAATTAACGTTTGTACTGTGTAGGGCTGTACAGTGTACACTGTACAGTTGTACAGTACTACTGAACTTTTGATTTCGCCGTAGTAATAAAATCATATTAAGTTATTTTAATATTTTTTAAAAAGTCTCAATAATTTTTAAGTATACTTAAAATAATAACGGGCAATATTTATGGTGAAAATTACGTCAATTACATCATTTTTTAGATAATATTAAGTGATTGTTGTAAAAAAAAGTATAGTATGCAACTCGTTTATAAACTTTTCTAGGCACTCATTTAATTAAGCATTCGCTCACAAGTTCGCTCGTGTCTAAATTAAATTCGTAACTAAAATGGCGTTCATCAAACTTACTACATAATATATTATTTTGAAAAGAATATCCAATTTAAAAATCCATCTGCATGGTTTTAAAAAGCAATACTTATTTTTGGTAAAATAAAAAAAAGATCGGTTAATACTTGATATTAATTGAAAGGCATACCTACCTTTATATACCTAGGTATTTTTTGTTCTGATTTCAAAAATATATAGTTTGTACAATGTAAAAGGTGTACAATCTA